TAACTTTATTATTATTGTTTTCCAGTTTGATTAGAGAGAGACAGATAAAGAGAGAGAGAGGGAAGGAGAGCGAGCCACCAGGTCTGGAACTTGAACCATGGTTGACCAAGTGCTGTCTAGTCCCTTTACCCACCATGCCACCAGCTGGCCCCCTTTTTTTCTTTATGAGAGAGAGGGAAAAGAAGAGAAACAAACATAGGCATTTTTGACAGAATCGTCTGTGTCACATTCTTCCTTCTTTTGACTCCCAGTTAGCTAGGATTATAGGCACACATGGTTGTATTCAGTGTATTCAAGTTAGCCCAGGATAAGCTTGTTTAAGATTGGGATGCTAGTAGCTTTATTTTTCTCATTACAGTTCCTTGGAATATGGGACAAGTAAAAGCGTGTTTATTGAATCATTTATAGTGTATGTCAAAATTCTCTGATAAGACTCAAAATAATGGAATAGGTATTAAAAATTTTGGATATCTGAGAAAAAGATAAAATAAGATATAGTTCATAGTCATCATGAGTTATATAATTTTATATTTTTGACTTCAAATTTGTTATTGTGTTAAAACTATGTATAATCTCAGGGGCCAGCAGATGGCCTGGTGGGTAAGTGCTGGACATTCCCACATGTTCAACCACGGTTCGAGTCCCAGACCTGATCATGGCTTGCTTTCTCATTTTCTCTCTCTCTCTCTGTGTCTCTCTCTGGTCAAATTAAAATAAATAAATTGGGACCAGCAGTTGGGTAGTGGCTATGTCTCTGGACTCCCATGTAGTCGACTGCAGTTCAAGTCCTGGACCCGGTGGCTTAAACTCAAGCTGGGCACGGGTGCACCCCAAGATTCCGAGTGGAGAATGGAGGAGAAGGGATTGTGGCCTGACCATCCCCCCTGGGGGGTGATTTCTTGCTTTCTGTCTCTCTGTCTCTCTCTGTCTTTCTGGTGAGCGCATACTCCGTTTAGAAAAAACCTCTCCAAAAAACATTAAAGAATGAATGAAGAAATAAAATTGAATAATTCTTTAAAAAAACTATATATAATTTCTTATGAAAGTCTGAACTGCTATTAAATAAGACATTGTGGGGGCAGCAGGTGGCATAGAGATTAAGGCCCTGGACTCCTACATGGGTGACTGTGGTTCAACTTGGCATCTTGAGCATCATTCTGGACACATATGCTTGCATGCCCCAAATCCCAGAGGAGAATGAGGAGAAGGGATTGTGGCATGGCGATCCCTGCGGCGGGGTGATTTCTCACTTCCCCTCTCACTGTATCTCTGGCAAGCACATATACCCTTTGGCAAAAACCTTAAAAAAATATTAACTAATTAATTTTAAAAAAGAGATTTGATCCCAGCCCTATAGTCTAGTGGTTAAGGGAGCTGGATTCCACATGCTCAACCATGGTTTGAATCCCAGCCTAGTGGCCTGAAAAGCACATTGGACACCCACATGTACCTACATGCCCAAAGTCCCAACAGGATAGAGAAATCAAGGAGAAGGGATTGTGACATGGTTACACTTCACTGGGAGGTGTTTTCTCTTTATCTCTTTATCTCTTTTTCTCTATCCTCTGTCTGTCCCTCTCTGCTGAGCACATGTACCCGCTGGCAAAAAGAAAAAAAATGGGGGGTGGGATTTGGGCTTAAAAAGTAGTTTCAGTGCTCTTGGCAAAAGCATATGATCACTGAAAATCTAGCAGTCCCAGTGATTCCTGAATATGTGTTGATTTTTAATTGTTCATTTTAACTGTAAAAGAGATGGAACCAAAGAAAGACTTGAATCTTCAAGTTTATGGATTAAACTACATCATTTCTTGCTATTTATTGCTATTTATTTATTTATTTATTTATACTTATTAGCTGTCATTGGAGCCTGTTTTATTTGTTATTTGCTTATTAAATCCTAGAGGATGGAGGTGGCTGTCCTTCGGTAGTAGCCTAGGTGTGCTACTGTGAACCTTGGAGTTAAAAGTTTGAGTGCTACTGCTTCTATTTAGCAACTGCATAGTTTTTAAAGTATAAACATAATTATAAAATATATAAATAATACTTCAAATGTAAATAATTATATTTCAAATATTAACATATTTTGTCCTTACCAAGAGCCACCTTATAAGGTAAACTGGGATGGTATTACCCACCCCCACCCCTCCCATGTTCAGAGAGGTTTGCCTACTTCCCCACTGTTGATGGGTGCCATGGTGTGGTGGAGACGGGTAAGAGCATGAATTTTAGGGTTAGGCGAGCTTAAATTTGATTCCCAGGGCTAGCCTCTTGACCACATTCCTGATATTCTTTAAGGCTTATGATGATAATCCTACCTTCTCGTAGGATTGTTGTAGGGGTTGAATGAAGTTAGGGGTTTCCTTACTGCTTTATCTTTTATGCATGGTACATATGTTTGCATAATTATTAAATAAATAAATGTTTGTTTAGTAGGAGTCTTTGTGAGCTTTGTTCCCTTCCAATTCCTAGTTTAATTCCTGCATCTGGAATAAATTGAACTTGAACTCTAATCTGTGTTTAAAAGTTTTTTTTTTTTTTAATTAATTTTCTTGGTTAGGTACATATTTAGGATTAAAAGAGACAAGTTTGTAATTTTTAAAGAACTTTTTTATTCCAGTAGAAAGGAGTTTATTGTACAGTGTTGGTTATGCATGAGCTTCTTTTCTTTGCTTGTTAATTGTGCGCCTCATTGCTTAATGTGTTTTATCACTGTTGTTAGACTATTATATTTTACTTGCTGTAACACCAGGATGAATCAACCATACACACACTTAAAGTGTCATGAGACCATAATTCCATAATTTACAAACCTAACATGATCTTAGATGTTTACAAATGTTGTTTGGTTCTAATTATCTGTGTGCAGGAAATTTTTAATGATAGATGCATTTTACTTATTAGCTGTCATTGGAGCCTGTTTTATGCAACTCTTTTTTTTGGGGGGGGGGGCAAGGTTTTTGCTATAGGTCATGTGCGCTCGCCAGAAAGAGAGAGACAGAAAGAGAGAAATCAATCCCCGGGGGGATGGCCACGCTACAATCCCTTCTCCACTCTCCTCTCAGGATCTTGGACACACACGCACATGCACCCGGTGTTGAGTTTAAGCTACCAGGTCTGAGACTTGAACCATAGTCGACTACATGGGAGTCCAGCAACATAGCCATTATGCCAACTGCTGGTTCCTTATGCAACTCTTTGGCAGCTCAAAAAATAAAATTCCTCTCTAATTAATTAATTAATTAGTTGAATGTGCCAGAGGGTATGTATATATACCAGAGAGAAAGACTGAGAGGGAAAGTGCCCCCAAGTGGGTATGATCACACCATAGTCCCCTTTTCTCCCTTCCTCTGAACTGTCAGAATCCAAGGCGTGTGCACACATTCCTGGCATGTTTTTCAAGCTACAGGGACTGGGATACAAGCTGTGGTAGCCATGTGGGATCTGACTCCCTCCACGAAGTACTCAACCACTGTGCTACAGGGCTGGCCCCCAAAGTTTCTTGCTTAGATGAAATTAGGTTATGATATACATTTTTAGAATTTTATCATGTTATATATTAACCCATACACATATCTCAATGGAGATCTCCCATTGGACGATTATTTTTTCTTTCTCTTCTTTTTAAAAATTCTCTACAGGGCTCATATAGTCACTGCAGGAGTGAGAGAGGAAAAGTAAGAAAGCACCCCCCACGGGAGGTGGCCATGCCACAGACCATTCTTCATTCTCCTCTCAGGATTTTGGGCATGCATGCAATGTGCCCTGTATGTTTTCCAAACCTCTGGCTCCTGGATTTGAACTATGCCATCAGCCTTATGGGATTCAGCCACCTTAACCCCCAAACCACTGGCCGGACTCAGGTTATGATTTTTTTTCAAAAGATTTTTGCCAGAGGGCACATCCACTCACCAGAGAAGAGGGAGACACAGAGAGAGAGTGAGAAGAAAGAGGGAAATCACCCCCCAGGGGGTGATTATAATCCTCCTGGGACTTTGGGTGCATGCTTATGTGCCTGGAGTGATTTTCAAGTTGCTGGGTCTGAGACTCGAATTGTGGGCAGCCCTGTGGGAATCCAGTGCTGTAAACACTGCACCACCTACTGGCTCCCAAGCTATGAATTTTTTTATGGTTAGGAACTGTTTCACTCATTCTTACTTCTCTACTGCTTAAGTTTGTGTCTGGCCAATAATAACAATAGCTGTATCCGGACCTTCATAAGGTATATTGATTTTTATTTTTGCCCTAGATATTTAGAGCTTAACCTTACAAAAGATGTTAATATATGGTTAGAAGACCAATTTTATGTTGACATTTTAGTAATCAGCAAGGCACACTTTTTTGTTAGTTTATTCAAAGTTATTATTTGTGTGAAACAGGAATATTATTTGTATTTTCTAAACTGATCCTTCTAATAATGAGTTGAAAATTATTTAAATATTAATTAAAGGCATATGTGTACAAAACATTCTATTTAAGCTTTTTATAAGTTGTGCTTTGCGTAGTGTAAAGCTTTGTTAGCACTATAGTTTTTTGTGTTTTTTTTTTTTTTGGACAGGTTTTTGCTATAGGGCGCGTGTGCTTGCCAAGAAAGACAGAGATAGACAGAAATTGAGAAATCATCCCCCAGGGGGGATGACCACGCCGCAATCTCTTCTCCTCCATTCTCCTCTCGGGATCTTGGGCACGCATGCTCATGTGCCCGACATGAGTTTAAGCCACCGGGTCTGGGACTCAAACCATGGTCGACTACATGGGAGTACAGTGACACAGCCATTATGCTAACTGAATTCTGTGACACTTATACTAGTAGTCTAGTTTGTAAGTAATAGAAATCATATTTAGATAGAAGCCAGTTTTTTTCTGATTCAGTTTTCGTCACTGAATGTTATTAGTATTACTTTATTTTTTAAAAAAAATTAATAACTGGTCTAATGTTAAATGTCTTTGCTGGCATATCAGGAGTTATATTCTACTATTCTTTCTTTTCTTCTCTGAAACAGATTTATTTGAAAATTTCTATGGATCTTCAATGAAGAGAAGAGAACTGGAAGATCTGAAGGATAATATTGAATTCAGAGGTCATAAACCATTTAATAGCATTACTGTTTCAAAGAAACGCAATTGGCTGTATCAGAGTACTCTGAGATCTCTTAATCTGGAAGAAGAAAATAAGACGTGCCAAGGTATAGGTCACTTACCTACCTCACCTACGTCTCTACCTAAGCATCAGCTCTCACAGCCTTTCCTCAAATCATCTGAAGAATACTGTGCCTATGTGGTGTGTAATTCTACAGACTCTCCATTATCAAGAAACTGTTCGTTAGATCTTAATGAGGAAAACGATGCAGACGATGAAGGAGAAATATGGTACAACCCCATTCCTGAGGAGGAGGATGTGGGTATATCGGGTGCCTTGAGTTTTGGTGAGGCGAGCTCTGCTGTTCTGAAGCTTCCTGCTGTCAGTTCGAGCATACTGTCCGGTAGTGACCTGACGAAAACAGAGCGGCATACTGAAGACCTGCGGTGCTCTTCTGAACACACTGAACCCTTCTCTATTCATATTACACAGTCACATGAAATGAATCCTACAGATTCCTTCCATCCCACGGAATCCGTGCAGCCTTGCAAGCAAAGGCTAGGACATAAGACACAAGAAGGCGTAATGGTGGAGGACAGTCCCACGTTGAAATCTCCTTTTGCAGGTAAAGATGATCATATATGTGCTTTTTCTTATTCGATCGTTCAATTCTCTGATAGTAGCTAAAACTAAACATAGAAGGTGTGTGTTCTGTTGATAAATTTTTCCTTACAAAGTGAATTTATTTTCACTAAAATCTCAAGGAGGTTTATAAATACATTTAGAGACATGGTATCAATAGTTTAATTATTCCTATCACAAACTTGGTTTTGTAAGCTGGTGTGCTTTAGTTTGTGCTTTGAAATAGTCGGTGCTAGGGCAGCAGGTAACATGGCGATTAAGCAGCTGGATCCCACGTTACCAACTGCACAGTTTCAATCCTGGACTCAGAGGCTTGGAAAACATGCTGGATACGTGTGCATACGTGCCCAAAGTCCTGAGAAGAGAATGGAAGAATGACTGCAACATGGCCATTCCTCCTGGGAAGGTGCTTTCTCACTTTCTCTCTCTCTTTCTTTCTCTGGCGAGTGCATGTATGCTATAGTAAATTAAAAAAAGAAAAAATAAGCATTGATTTTCTTTTTTTTTTTTTTTAGAGAAAATTTTGGTATAGGGAGCATGTGCTCACCAGAGAGACAGAAAGTGAGAAATTGCCCAAAAGCAAGAAATCACCCCCCAGGGGGATGGCCACACCACAATCCCTTCTCCTCTATTCTTCTCTCAGAATTTTGGGCACACACACATTTGTGCCTGGTGTGAGTTTCAAATCTCCGGATCTGGGACTCAAACCTTGGGTTCGGCCATGTGGGAGTTCAGTGATATAACCATTATACTATCTCCTAGTCCCTTATTGTGTATGTGTTTTGTTTTATTTTTAAATAATTATTTTATTTAGCTTTATTTATTTGTTTGTTTAAATTTAATTAGAGTGGGACAGAGTAAGAAAAAGAGAGAGAAGGAAAGTGAGAAAGCAAGCCACCAGGTCCAGGACTCGAACCATAGTTGGCCATGTGGGAGTCCAGAGCCCTTAACCACCACGCCACCTGCTGGCCCCTGTGTGTGTTTTTAATGTGTATTTTATTCTGTTTTTCAAAAGTTGTCTGAGGGTAATAGCTATGTCACTGGACTCCCACATAGTTGACCGCAGTTCGAGTCCCGGACTCGGTGGCTTAAAACTCAGGCCAGGCGCATGTGTGTGCGTGCCCAAGATCCCGAGAGGAGAATGGAGGAGAAGGGATTGTGGCGTGACCATCCCCCCTGGGGGGTGATTTCTCGCTTTCTGTCTCTCTGTCTGTCTGGTGAGCGCACGTGCCCAATAGCAAAAACCTGTCCAAAAATAAAAAAAAAGGATAAAAAGTTGTCTGGAGGCTTGTATACTCACCAGAGAGAGAGGGAGAAGGAGAAAACATCTCCCAGTGGGTGGGTAGTATGTTGTAAACCCTTCTCTATTTCTCTGTTCTGTAGTGATCTTGGTCTTAACACACAGTGTGTTTTTTCAAGCTGTTGGGGCTAGGATTTGAACAGCACAGTTGGCCATCTGGGATCTGGCTTCCCTTAACCACCAGACTATGCAGCAGCCCATACTAGTTAATTTCTTTCATGAGAAAAAGAGATCCCCCCACAACCAGGTCCTCCTATATCCTCTACCTAGGCTTCCAGATACCCAGGATCACAGGTGCTTCTTTAGGCAACCACAGTGTGCTCAGGTGATGAGGGACCTGAGCCCTAGGCCTTCTTTTTTTTTTTTTTCTTTTTTTTTTAAGAGACTTTTGCTATAGGTGTGCACTGCTAGAGAAGCAAGCAGAGAGAGACAACGAGAAATCATACTGCAATTCCTTCTTCTTCATTCTCTTCTCAGGATTTTGGGCACACACATGCCCAGAGAGTTTTAAGCCACCAGGTCTAGGACTTGAGCTGCAGTTGATTATGTGGGAGTCCAGCAAAGTCACCATTATGCCATCTGCTGGTCCCATGAGCCCTACTCCTGTATGTTTCCTGTAAAGTAGAGTGGCATTCTCCCATTCGTGCCACTGCAGCCAGGCCTAGTTTGTGGTTTTATTTATTTATTTATTTTTTTGAGAGGTTTTTTGCTATAGGGCGCGTGCGCTTGCCAGACAGACAGACAGAGACATAGAGACAGAAAGCGAGAAATCACCCCCCAGGGGGGATGGTCACGCCGCAATCCCTTCTCCTCCATTCTCCTCTCGGAAT